TTCATCTACATTGCCATTGAACGAGTCACACCCTTGACCTGGTCCACGAAACGGAAAGCGCTGTCCGAGGAGAGTATTAAGTGGGGCCTTCACAATGTTGCCAAGACACTCAAGTTCATGAATGACGAAGCTTCCTCGATACACGGCAACATTCGCGCCTCGTCTATCTACACCAGCGAAAGTGGGGAGTGGAAACTTGGTGGTCTGGAGATTCTGAGCGCGGTCAAGGAAGACGATGGAATCATATTCAGCCATGGCAGCCTCGTGCCGGATATTGGTCGGTACAGTCCACCGGAAGTGGCTAAGAATGGCTGGGACAGTATAAGGAAGAACCCAACGCATGCGGTCGACTCGTACCAGTACGGCATTTTGGTGTCGGAAGTGTTCAATGGCAGCTTCTCAGGCTCCGAGCAAGTCGGCACCACAAAGGACGTCCCACTGAACATGCAGACGACCTACAAGCGCTTGACTCACGCCATGCCAAAGATGCGACTGAGTGTTGGTCATTTCTTTGAGCAAGGCAGTCGAAGTGGTGGTTTCTTCGACACACCCCTAATACAGCTTGCGGATGGCATTGAGAACCTGGGTCTGAAGTCTGAGGCCGAGAAAGATGCTTTCCTGAGGTGAGTGGACCTGTCGAATCATGCCTGTGACATGGCTGACAATCTCCAGTGAACTAGAACGAGTCGCAGAATCCGACGACTTCCCAGAAGACTTCTTCAAGGTGAAGGTATTGCCAGAACTGCTAAAGTCCGTTGAGTTCGGAGGCGGTGGACCAAAATCGTTCAGCTTGGTGATGCGAATAGCATCTAAGTTAGCAGAAGACGAGTATGACTCGCAGATCACACCAGTGATCGTGCGCCTTTTCACCAGCCCGGACCGCGCACTGCGTGTGTGTCTTCTTGGCAATCTGCCACTCATGATCGATCATCTCAGCCAGAGGATCGTTACGGATAAGATCTTTCCGCAGATGGTGACTGGGTTTGGAGATCTCGCGCCAGTCGTGCGAGAACAGACCGTCAAGGCTGTGCTCGTCATTGTGCCGAAGCTGTCAGACCGCGTAGTCAATGGCGAACTCCTGCGACATCTGGCTAAGACCGCAAACGATGATCAACCTGGTATTCGCACAAATACAACCATCTGCTTGGGCAAGATGGCGAAAAATCTCGGACCCGCGTCGAGATCGAAAGTACTGAGCGCAGCGTTCGCGCGAGCACTCCGTGATCCCTTCGTCCATGCACGGAATGCTGCGCTAATGTCGCTCGCTGCTACAGCGGATGTCTTTACAGAAGAGGACTGCGCTATAAAGATGCTACCTGCCATATGTCCAAGCTTAGTCGACAAGGAGAAGATGATCCGTGACCAGGCCAACAAGACCCTAAACATTTATCTGGAGCGTGTACGCAAATATGGACAGACACTACCAGAGTCCATGCTACCTCCACCATCAGATGGCAGCAATCCGGGCACGAGGATAAGCACACCGCAGCCTGGACCGGGCGGTGGACAATGGGTTGGCTGGGCTATTTCGTCCTTCACGAACAAGATTGCTACTGCGAGTGGAGAGATTCAGCCGAATGCCAATGGCACCAAACCTACACCTTTCGAGCGTACAGCTTCGGATCCCTCAGCAAATGGTGTCCCGCCTCGGCCAACAACTCACGCTGCTCCCTCAGCACCTGTCGTCCCACGCGTACTTTCGAGCGTCGCATCGCGAGAAGCAGATGCAGAGGACTTTGGAGCTGGATGGGGTGATATAGATGATGCAGCTGATACTGCGGATCCTTGGGGCGATCCTGTGCCTACCGCCTCTCGCAGTTCGATGACCTCGCAAGTCTCTCGACCAAGCACGACGTCAAGCGCAACATACGATGATGGGGGTGAACCGGATTTCGAAGGTTGGCTCAACGCTCAAGCTGCCGCAAAACAACAAAGCAAGAGACCATTGCCTAAGGGCCTAGCAACGAAGAAGACTACCGTACCTGCGTCGAAGTCAGGTGGTGCAGCGCCCGCCAAGAAGCCTTCTCCTTTGTCTGGGACTAGTAGACCGATCACTAGTAAGCCTGTAGCAGCGCCGAAGGATGACGAGGAAGGTGATGGATGGGGTGACGCGTGGGACTAACATCAAGCGTCCTGGTGCTTGACTTGGTAATGGTCTTGCATAGCGAGATACCCAAGCTCACTGCACGATCTACAGACGTCGGTACAGTGCGAGCGCGACTATCGCCATGTCCATCCTACGCGGTGCATATTATTCGACCGCTACTGTGCAAGCCACGTCACTCGTGAACGTGACGGATGATTTGATATCGCTGCAAGCACCCCGATAAGAGATACGAACAGCGTAACCGAATGCCGTGGCACCTGTAAGACGGGGTTATGAATTGTGATCGCTTCCTATACACTGACCGACCGTTGCCTAGAAGAAAGGCTTTCGTAGTCCGGCAGTAGTCCTGTGCCGGCTCGCATCCGGAGTTGGTTGTTGCGACTACCGTACTGCTGTGCTGCAAGAACGCTTCTGCACGCAATGAAGATCGAGGTACAGATGTAGTGTCGCAATAACAGTCTCGTCGCCATGCAAGTCATCTTTCGGGCATAGCACACGATCAGAGTTTACTCTTATACACTGTAAACTTTCCACCACGACATCATCTCAAACACAAAAGCTTTTGACTTGCCATAGCCGTCTCAACCGGACGCTCAGGGCAGCGAGAAGTCCATGACAACGCCAGGTTGACATTGCGTCAAATCGAAACACACAAAGGTCCATTTTAAGACTCATCGGGAGGACGTCTGCGCCTCCAAATCATGGTGTAAGTGGCGTATGAAGAAATGCTCGTCGCGCTCAAGAAACTGTTCCTGCTGACCGCCACCATCTCGCATCATATTCGTCATCCCATTGTTCGACCGAGATGTATCACAG